TTAGCCATCAGGAAAAAGACACTCAGAATATTGAACAGTAATGTCCATCAGGAACAATGCCTCTGTTGTTGAACACATCTCCAGAGTTAGAGGAGTCCCCACCCCCACCTCAAAAGTAGGCTTTTTACTTTTTGCCTGTTAAAGCCCTGCCCAGAAACAGCAGGGTGCTAGAGATGATGACGCACAAAAGGAAAGGGATAAGGAGGGTCAGTCATATCCATGTAGGACACCAGTCCACTGCACTGGGCCCTTCCCTGCTGCTTTGCGGTAAATCAACCAATCACAACAGAGCTTGGATGCTTAAAGTTAGCCTAAGTATGTTGTCCCAAAGGCCAGGTGTCACCTTGCTCCACTGCCCAAAACCCTCCAGCACAGTTCACTCAGATTAGGAGAACTGAATAGAGGGTCTCTATCCCTGCCCAAGAGAAAACACTTTGTCTTTCTTACCCACAGACTGGAAGAAAGGCTGGCCTCCGAAGCCTCTGCAGCCTGCTCTCAGCTTCCCTCAGACTCCTCATCCAAGAGGGCAGAAATGGAGTTGAAATCCTCCAGGCTGTTGATCCCGGAGCCTACCTGGACTTCCATTGAATCCTGCAAATGACAGTATCGAGGCTAAATCCTAAGCTTTCTGCATCCCAATAAGATTGCTAAAGGACAGGGTGCATTCAGGCCCTGTGTGCCAACAGCAAGAGAGCCTCCATTGGCCCCATTGCCAAAACTTTCTTACCTCCGAGGTGTGCGTCTTCTCCCCAGTAGGAGAGAACTGCTCTTCCACCAGCTGGTCTTCTTCATCCTGAAATAACAATGCAAAGATTCTGTCTGTTGGCATCTCTACAAATCCGCAGAGACAGGGCTTCTTCTTTTATCAGGGTAGAAGCTGTTCAAGCCTTACCGATTCAGTGCAGGTCTCCAAAATGGGGAGGAGTTGCGGCCTCCAGTGCTCTTGCTCTTCCTCTCTGGGGAGAGAAACGAAGAGGCCAAAGGTAAAAAGGAGCCACGGGCCCTTTTTTAAAATGTGGTCACGTGGAGGCTCTAAGAACCCTTCCAGCTGGCCTGCCAAGGGGATTAGCCTGCCCAAGGGGTTGCCCTGAGTCATTCTTCCTTTAGCAGAGGCAGAGGGCAGAGATGCCTCCCCTCTGCAAAGGTTTCACCCTCCGAGGTGTTACCTACCTTGATAAGCAGGCACTGCTTTCCTCCTGCATGTCCCTTGGTCGGTATTCTTCCGAAGGATCCTGAAATAACAATGTAATGTTGGCATATCAACAAACCCGCAGTGAAAGGGCTTCTGCATGGTGAGGAGCTGGTCTGGGCTTACCGACTCAGTGCAGGTCTCTGAGATGGTTGAGAGCCGCGGCCTCCACTTTGTTATGTGCTCATTTCTGGGGGGAGAATGAAGGGACTTTTCTAGCCCTTCTCTTTAGGTCTTTAGTGCGGCCACCTTTTGGAGGGCTTCAGAATCCTTCAGTTGAGAACACATACAGTACCATATTGAAATGAGAACGGGTGTCACATATTCTGTCTGATTCTTTAGGTGGTTGCACGAACACCCATCAAAACCTGCAAGTAACAATTGTACATTGAAGGTATAAATTAAAAGTGCATGTGGTAGAACGTTATATCTTTCTCAGGGGGAAAGCTGCACTCCACAGAGAAAAGAGACAGCAGATCATGGAAAACTTGGCTGATAGAAAAAGGCTCAAAATGGCTCTTTCTTAGAATGTCCCAGTATTTCCCTTCCAAGCTATCAAGATCTTTCCCCGAATCGAAAAGGCTCCTCTTGACTTTGCTAGGCTGGCCAGGTTCCCCCAAGTGAGAATTCCTCTTTCCCCACCCAGTTTTGAGGCATGAACCCTGACTGGCCATGTCGTAGAAGCGTCCTTACACCTGGGAAGGAAGTTGATTCTTCATCATGAAGATGTGTCTCCCATTCTCCCTGCTGGTCGTCCTGTTTCTATGCCTCGTCAGTGCTGGCCAAAAGAAGAAGGTGACCTGTCAAAGGTTATCCATCTAGGTCTGCCTCTCCTTTCTAAGACCGACCATTCAGTCTATCCATCATTTTGCCTCTGCAAGCCCCTTACAGACAAGAAGCCATCTTGGGGAGAGGCTCTTAGACCTGTACTTTCCTGTCAAGAGGTAAAGGAAGGTACTCTACGTCGCTCTTCATGCAGCAGAAGAGCGCCGAACATATTTTCCAGATGTTCTGTGAAGAGAAGAGAAATAGGCGTGAGTCAGTCAAAAGAGTTGAAAAGCATGACTTTCTCCCCTACTGCCAGTTTTTGGGCAGCTGAGATGGCCACATTTATTCTAAAAAACCATCGTACAGCCATGATCCCAAGCAGCTGTTCATATTTCCACTGCACCTGTTGGTGACTTTTCAGGGAAACTGACAACCTTGCTCCCTCAGCAACCAGGTAAACACTGGCCACATTCTAAACCTGTCCAAGGAGGGCAGCTCACCTGGGTTTAGCAGTGTCTGGGCCTCAATCCTGTCTGCTTAGATGAAAATATCCTTTCTTTTTGCTAATACACATTTTCAGATTTGTGTTTAAGGGGCCCTGCACTCTTTATACAGAGTGCCACTCAAACCAGGAGAGGTCTGCAGCATCAGAAGGAGGTTCACAGGTTCAACCCCTTAATTGTGACATGGACACCAGTGGGGGTGAGGATTACTTCGAAAGGATCCGCACATGTTGTCACCTTTCCAGTGCAACCCCCAAAGGTCTTTCCAGGAATCCTTAGTATAGAGTATTTGAGTAGCTCGGTTACTGTGGTCAGCAGCTTAGAGGAGTGCTTGATATGTGGGAAACTTGGAAAATGCTGATAAGTTGGAAGTTATCTCTAGATAATAAAACTTTGTTTATTTCAATTATCATTTCTGGGACTGATGATGGGATTAGAAAGACAAAGACCCCTAAAATCTACATCCCCCCACCCAAAATCTAAAGTCATATCCTTTAGGACATAATAGGATTAACCCACCATTAGAATACCAAAAGGGCACACTGAACCTCAGGTCAAAGTTCATGACACAAGAAAAAGAACCTCAAGTACAAAGCCCAAAGGAGGTATAAAAATCCACCACTCCCAGCTCCATTTTGCAAGCTGCTCCAGAGCCTCATGCTATTGTGGTTCTGCTCTTGAATAACAAGAACCTTCTTTCTCAAGCAGTCTCCATTTTATTTATTCCCGTCTTGGACTGCACCCTGATGAAGATTTCTTTCAACTTAGTAAACATGAAGCACACATTTTAAATTGAAAACGTAGTGCCGATTAGCAAGTTTACTGAGAGGGGAATATCAAAGCAAGGTATGCTATGTTGCCATTTAGGTGATAATTTTTATTTACAGTTTAATTGAAATCACTGTGCATGGAAATTGTTTGTGTCCAGTTAGGACATACACTTTCCCTGCCATTTTAGCTGTCCCATTTGTATATCTTATATACATATTTCGCTAGTGTATGCATTGTAGCAACAACCTAGCGTGACTTGCAAGAAATTATAGCCTCTTAGCCACTGTAACTTGGGTATTGTTCTGTAAAATTCCTTATATTTTTTCACACTTACGTCCGTTGCAGCAGCCCCATGGTCACATGATCAATATTCAGATGCTTGGCAACTGACTCATGTTTATGACGGTAGCAATGTCCCAGGGTCATGTGATCAGCTTTTGCATCCTTCTGGCAAGCAAAAGTAATGGGGAAGCCAGATTATCTTAAGAACTGTGTTACTATCTTAACAACAGCAGTGATCTACTTAACAACTGTGGCAAGAAAAGTCGTAAAATGGGGCATTAGTCACTTAACAAATGTTCCATTTAGCAACATCAATTTGGGGATCAATAGTGGTAAGTTGAGGACTACCTGTATGTAACTGAGGAACCTCCATTAATATTGTAACTGAATACTAATTCACTGTATCCTCTCGAACGGCAGAAAAAAATGGGACAAAACTGAGACAAAGAATTTTTCTGAAATTCTGCATTTATTCAAAAGTTCACCCTATTCCTAACAAAAGTGTAATGAAAATAGGCCTAAACTAAATTAGTGCATATAAAGTCTTTTTTAGTTTTATTGTCTGAACAATAACAAGAACAACAACAAGAAATACAAGAACAACTATAACAAGTACAACAACAAGAACAACAGCACACAAAAATCCTCGGGGAAAAGTGGCTCGTCGCTGGTCTTCACCGCTGCGGCTGATTCCGCCATCCATCACTGTCCGTCTATATGCAGATAGAAGAACAGAACAGAATACCCAGAGTTGGAAGGGACCTTGGAGGTCTTTTACTCCAACACCGTACTCATGAACACATTGTTCCCAGCATCGCCTCCATCTGTCTGCTGTGCTAAATAGCCAACTTACGGTGCAGCCTATCAAGAAGGATGAGATTGCCTCCTCGTGAGTAAAAGAGCTGCCTTTTGCTGCTCCTGCCTTTTCTCTGCCCTACCTGTTCTCGGATGAGTGTAGAAAGCAGTTCCTCCTCCAAACTAACCATCTGCAGCTGCGAGCTTTCTCAGCCAGAAGCCTCAGGGCTGTCCTGCTGCACCTGTGCTCCAGCCAAATTACTCTCTGTTGGCTGCTTGGAGGCATTGATTAACTCACCTGCTGATGTGCCTGGGACTGGTTCATCCTCCTCCGATCTGCCATCCGGAGAGGCATCTGGGGAAGCGTCTGGGGGAATAATCAAAGGCTTTTCTTAGAACCACATGCTTTCTATAAAAGTACAAACACTTTGTTCATTCTGGAGTTATTTTTGATATTTTCCTCGGGTTTTCTTAGTAAGGACACTGGAGAGGGTTGCCATTTCTTTCTCCAATGGACCACATTTTGTCAGCACTCTCCACTATGACTGTGTGAGTAGGGTGACCCTGCTTCATTGAGCTTTGTAAGACTGCGACACAACGTTCCTGGTTTTTTTCCCTACGGACGACAACAGACACACTGTCAGCAGTGATCCACGAAGAGGCTAATATAGGTACCTCTTTTAATTAGAGACTGAGGTCCAGAGAGTCTTCCAGGCTGCTGAGATTGTCCAGCGTGGCTTCCCCTTCTTCGGGAGAATCCTGTGAATGACAATGATTCCTCTTTAGCCATCAGTGAAAAGAGACTCAGAATTCCTAAAAGAGGTCCTATTGAATCAGGATCCCCATAAGGAACAATGCTTCTGTTGCAATCCCCACCCCTAGCGTACCCATTCCTGCAGAAATGCAGGTTCTCTACTCTTTGCCTGTTAAAGCTGTGCCTGCAAACAGGAAAGGGATAAGCAGGGTGGGTCATATCCATATAGGACATCAGTCCACTGCAGTGGGCCCTTCCCTGCTGCTTTGCAGTAAATCAATCACAGCAGAAATTGGGTGCATATGGTCAGCCTAAGTATGCTCTTCCCAAGCGCCAGGTGTCATTTTGCTCCACTGCCCAGAGCCCTCCAGCACAGTTCACTCAGATTAGGAGAACTGAATAGAGGGACTCTATCCTTCCCCAAGAGAAAACACTTTGTCTTTCTTACCCACAGACTGGAAGAAAGGCTGGCCTCCAAAGCCTCTGCAGCCTGCTCCCAGCTTCCCTCAGACACCTCATCCAAGAGGGCAGAAATGGAGTCGAAATCCTCCAGGCTGTTGATCCCGGAGCCCACCTGGACTTCCATCGAATCCTTTGAATGAGGGTATCAAGGATAAATCCTAACCTTTCTGCATCCCAGTAAGATTGCTCAAGGATAGGGTGCGTTCAGGCCCTGTGTGCCAACAGCAAGAGAGCCTCCATCGGCCCCATTGCCAAATCTTTCTTACCTCCGAGGTATGCGTCTTCTCCCCAGTGGGAGAGAGCTCCTCTTCTGCCGGCTGGTCTTCTTCATCTTGAAATAACAATGCAAAGATTCTGTCTGTTGCCATCTCCACAAATCCGCAGAGAGAGGGCTTCTTCTTTTAGCGGAGTAGAAGCTGTTCAGGCCTTAACGATTCAGTGCAGGTCTCCAAAATGGGAGGGAGTCGCAGCCTCCAGTGCTCTTGCTCTTCCTCTCTGGGGAGAGAAACGAAGAGGCCAAAGAACAAAAGTAGCCCTGGGCCCTTTTTTAAAAAGTGGTGACGTGGAGGCTCTAAGAACCCTTCCAGCTGGCCTGCCAAGGGGATTGGCCTGCCAAAGGGGCTGCCCTCAGTCATTCTTCCTTTGCAGAGGCAGAGGGCAGAGATGCCTCCCTTCTGCAAAGGTTTCACCCTCCGAGGTGTTACCTACCTTGATAAGCAGGCACTGCTTTCCTCCTGCACGTCGTCCCTTGGTTGGCATTCTTCCGAAGGATCCTGAAACAACAATGCAAATATTACATCTGTAGGCATATCAACAAATCCGCAGCAAAAGGGCTTCTGCCATTACCATGGTGAGGAGCTGGTCTGGGCTTACCGACTCAGTGCAGGTCTCCGAAATGGTTGATAGCCACGGCCTCCACTTCATTATGTTCTCATTTCTGGGGAGAGAATGAAGAGTCAAAGATCAAAACTAGCTATGTGATGCCTCCCCTCTGCAAACGTTTTTTCTAACCCTTTAGGGTTTAGTGCAATCACCTTTTGGGGGGCTTCAGAGTACTTCATCTGAGAACACCTACCTCATTGAAATGAGAACTGGCATGACCTCTTTCTTCCTGGGGCTCCGGGTAGTGGCACGAACACCCATCAAACCCTGCAAGTAACAAAGAGCTCAAAATGGCTCTTCCTTAGTATTTTCCAGTATTTCCCCCTCCAAGCCATCACGATCCTCTTGACTTTGCTAGGCTGACCAGCTTTTCCCAAGTGAGAATTCCTGCCTTTCCCCATCTAGTTTTGAGGCATGAACTCTGACTGGCCATGTCGCATAATCGTCCTTACCCCTGGGAAGGAAGTTGTTTCTCCATCAGACACATGAAGATGTGTCTCCCATTCTCTCTGCTGGTCATCCTGTTTTTGTGCCTCAACGGTCCTGACCAAATGAATAAGGTGACATGTCAAAGGTTATCCTTCTAGGTCTGCCTCTCCTTTCTAAGATTGGCCATTCAGCCTGCCCATCTTTTTGCCTCTGCAAGCCCCTTGGGGACCGGAGGCCTTCTTGGGAAGAGGCTCTTAGAGACCCTGCAGTCCATCAATGGTGTCCCACCCTGCCCAGGTTTGAGGAGAAGGAGGTGGTACCTGTCTGGAGGCCAAGGAAGGTCCTCTACATTGCTCTTACGCAGCAGAAAAGCACCAAACATCTTTTCCAGATGTTCTATGACGAGAAGTAGACATAAGTCAGTCAGAAGAGTTGGGAAGTTTGACTTTCTCCCCTACTGCCAGTTTCTGAGATGGCCACACTTACCCTAAAAAACCGTCGTACAGCCATGACCCGAAGCAGCTGTTGGTCCTTTCACTGCAAGAAGGCAGAATGGGCAGCTGGGCCCTGGTTGGTGGCTTTTCAGCTGGGCCCTGGCAACCAGGTAAACAATGGCCACATTCTAAACCTGCCCAAGGTCTGGGCCTCAATTCTGTCTGCTTAGATGAAAATATCCTTTCTTTTTTCTAATATACATTTTCAGATTTGTCTTTAAGGGGCCCTGAACTCTTTATACAGAGTGCCACTCAAACCAGGAGAGATCTGCAGCATCAGAAGGAGGATCACAGGTGCAACCCCTTAATTGTGACATGGACACCAGTGGGGGTGAGGATTACTTGGAAAGGATCCGCACATGTTGTCACCTTTCCAGTGCAACTCCCAAAGGTCTTTCCAGGAATCCAAGGGGCTTTTCTTCTTGAGGTTGCCAGTCTAGCCAGGTTTCCCAGGAGATATTTTCTCCCCAAAGCCACGCAGACTTCAGGCATGACCTCCCCAGTAGCCATGTTGCAAAAGGTTACTTTGAGCCTTCAGCGTTCACTTAATGACTTTAGGATTCGCTTAAGAACTACTGTAAAAATGTTCAAAAACTTGGGTCCAATCACATGATGTCTCGACTTTTTAACTGCAACAAGATACAACTGTAATTCAGGGCTCAATCGCAGTCTCTGGTTGAGGACCACCTGTACGGATAATGTGACTTCAAGCTCAAAGAGAAAAACATTACAGATTTTTAATGACCAGGAGAGAGACGCTGTACTTAAATGTCTTCTAAATAAATGTTAAAGCATTCACTGCCCTAATAAATGAAAACATTTCTTTTTTCTTCAAGAATGGGCTTGCTAGTAGCAAATATATTCTATTTTAAATTTCCAAATATCATAAACTAGGAACAAAACCAAAAAATAAACACTACGTTCAAAGTAACCAGCTTCACAACCTATCCTTCAGTTATAGTGAAATATTAAACCACATCCTTCCCAGAAACAGAAAACCTTCGTATTTTTTTTTAAATCAGTTTGCAGGTTTATTTCCAAAATGTATATTGTTTCACCGTAGATATTTTTTTTTCTATCTCCTATAGGAAAATTCTCAATAATTTTCATATTTTAAATGCTTTTCTTGTCCTCTTTGAGTTTATAAAAATATCTAACTTTGATATAATGCCCAAAACAGGAACAAACATACTTATCGTTCTGACTGCCTTCCTGAAGGATGGGCTTCAGAGTTGTGAAGTGATTAGAGAAATTTCAAAGGAAGGTTGAGGAAAAATATTGGAAGCAGGATTAAGTACACATAGTACAGGTAGTAGTCCTCAACTTACAACAGTTCATTTAGTGACCAATGAAAGTTACAATGACACTGAATAAAGTAACTTATGACTGCTTTTCACAGTTACGATGTTTGCAGCAATCTTATGATCATGTGATCAAAATTCAGATGCTTGACAATTGGTTCATATTTATGACCATTGCTGTGTCCGGAGGTCATGCGATTTCCTTTTGCAACAGTTTGAAAAGCAAAATCAATGCAGAAGTCAGTTTCGCTTAACAACCATGTTACTAAGTTATCAAGTGCAGTGATTCATTAAACAACTGTGGGAAGAAAAATGGTAAAAGAGGCAAAACTCACTTAACAAGTGTCTCACTTAACAACAGAAATTTTGAGCTCAGTAGTCATCGTATGTGAAGGACTACTTGTGCAGGAAAATCAAATTGAGACTTGAGTCTATAACAAGCTGATATTTAATTTGAGTTTATTCCAAGAAGCTTTGAATAGGAACAAAATTGTCAATATTGTAAAATTCACATTAAAAAAACCCTGAAAATGGATTATAAACAGGTTGCCTTAGCTGTACAATATTTCTATCCAATCCTGCCTTCTTTGGCTCTAAAGATGTATTTATACAGGTAGTCCTCAACTAACAAAATAGTTCATTGGTGACCGTTGAAAATTAGAACATCACTGAAAAAAGTGATGTGAGTTTTATACTTACAACTATTGCAGTAGCCCAGTCACAGGATCATTTATTACGGTTGCAGCGTCCTGGGATCATGTAATCACCTTTTGCAAACTTCTGACAAGCCAAGTCAAAGAGAAAACCAGATTCATTTAACAACTGTATTATTAACTTCACAACTTCAGTGATTCACTTAACAGCTCTTGCAAGAAAAATCATAAAATGGAGCAAAACTCACTTAACAACTCTGTCTCTCTTAGTGACAGAAATTTTGGGCTCAGTTATGGTCATAACTGGAGAACACCCTCTAGTCTATAACGCTTAGTAGTTTTCTTAGGGCTAAGACTCCAAGCTTTCCTCCTATCTATCCTTCCACTCCCAGCTCCCAAATTTGTCACTTCCCTTCCCTCCAAGGGTATAAAGGAGGAGGAGGTACACAGTATTACTGTCCTTTGATTGATAGTTCTGAAATCCAATCATCATTCACCAAATCTCTGGGCAACAGGAAATGGCCTCCTCCTTTCCCAACAGGGGGCCTAAAAATCCAGCGTGAGCTGAGGAAGGTCTGTAGTCCCTGCGGTTTGTCCTGCTGTAGTCACCCCTCGGGCCAAGACAGGTAGTATTGTCAATTGTTTCCACAGTTTTTTTGCAATGAACACACACACACACACACACACACACACACACACACACACACACACACAATTCCATAAATAACTATAGGATTATGTTGGTGATAAAGTACCAGGGCAAAACAAGGCAAGGCAACAGAAAGGAATGGTTACACTGGATATTTGCCATTTGGGAGCAAATCTTTAAACCTTTGTGTCCATTTCTGTGTGTATGTGTGTTTGTTTATTTATTTAGCCTATAGTATGCAATATATATTAATATTTAATTGAGATTAATAAAAGACAATAAAAAATAAATGTTAGAAAGATCTGTTTTCAAATACCAATGTTTAGGCCATCTAACCATTGAACGGTGGCATTGTTTATATTAAAAAAATCAGATATTGTATATGCCCTCAGTTTACAGCAGGACTTGACATGGGATCAGCAATTTGTGTGTGTTTAAACACCTGTTTGCTCTTTTTGAGACCTTGTGCTAATTCCTGCCTAAATTGCCCTGACACAGAATTTTTCCTTATCCTATTTAGTTCCCTTTCTTTTTTGCTTTGCTGCTAAGTAATGTCCAGCCTTTACATTTTCTTTAGCCGCAGGCCAAGCTTTTACATTTACTGCTTAATGTTAAGAATGAGCTAGAATAATATGTGCTTCTAAATGTGAGGGAACATTCAACTATTTTTCAGTTCCAAAGCACTGGTTATTCAAAAAAAATTTGTTCTCTAGCAGTAGATTATATATTGATGTTTTATCCTTTTTATTAGTTTATAATATAAAATAAAAAATATAAAAGAAAGAATAGGAAAAATAGGGGAGGATAAAGGGAAAATGAGCCACTCATCTTAGAAAGGAACAGTACTCGTGGAAAAGCAGTGTGGAGGCAGCCATGTGTGCAAACTTCTGGGCAAGCTAAGAAAAGTCTGCAGGGAAGGGAAGGGCGCGCACGGGTAGAACAATCCATACAGAAGCCAGCCAGTAAGATTTGTTTTCTGTACATGGAGGAAAAAGTTAAAAAGCAGGGGAATGACAATTCAGATCTTGTGATGGTCATAGTCCAGACTGAGGTCCATTGATGTCTTGTTGCCAGTTCACTGCAACTTGGACTGGAACTGCTGAAGCCATTTATGAAACAGCTGGAAGCAGCATGGGAGGCAACCAACTTAAGCTGTAGTGAGGAATTGTCACTATTGCACTTCTGAAATGCCCCAAATACAGAATGAGTATAATTATAATAAAGATTTTCTTTTCAAAAGTTTTAATTCAAGCCCTGACCTCCATCTTTTTTCAAACCTACCTTCAGAAGATGAAGGCTTAAATGCACTGGCTATCTCTATCCACTATTCTCATCTTTTGTTGTTCAAACCAAGGAAGCAGAGTAGTGGAGCAGAGAGCTGAAATGGCAGCATAGCCCATTGGTTGCAGATCCCTTCTGTTCGTCCCCAGACTAATAGAAGAACCAAACTGTATTCACTTCTGGCTCCAATATGTGCATACATGTTTGTGTATATACCGTGTTTCCCCAAAAGTAAGACCCGGTCTTACTTTCTTTTGGGCTCTGAAGTAAGCACTAGGATTTACTTTCAGGGAGGGCTTTTTGCCGCTACTATGGTAGTAGGCCATGAGAGCGCGGGGGTGGGATGGGGCCTGTGCATGGGGTGGAAAAGCAATGTAGCAGTGAGAGCGTGGTAGTGGACCATGTATGGTATCGGGGCGAGTGAGAAGGCAGAGCGCATGCAGACCAGCCCCTGCAGCCCCGGGGTGGTAAAGCGGGCAGGCGTCCTGCCATCAGCACCCATGCCGGCTGCCCCTTCTCTGTGGAGCCAGAGAGCTTGGCATACCACTGCTCAGATGCCTTCACTCTCCCCAGGAATTGCATTTCTTTCCTTACCTGACTCCCAGCCCCGTGCCATTTCTCCTTCACGATCCATCGCTGCCATGTGGAGGGAAACAAAAGTTTTTTGAAGAAAAAAAAAGGCCAATCAATCAATTCCAATTTTGCAAGATCTTTGTTCTCCTGTCAGCAATCCAGTCACAGATGTTGTGTTTAACTTCAGGAAATAATGGCTGCCTGCTTGCTCCACACTTTTGCTTCTTGGCATTTCCCTCGTCTATCTGTTGGCTGAGGTTATTGTACTCTGCTCACCATTTTCAGACCATATGGAGATCCAACTTGTTCTCTTTGCAGAAAGCTGTAAGATTTTTACTCTGAGAGTCCTCCACGATCTCTTTCTTGAATTCAATAGAATAACTCTTTCTTTTTGAACTCATCTTGTCTGGGGGGGGGGCAAAATACGGTACAGTATTATAGTATTCTCTTAAAATCTGCCATTACCAGTACATTAAATCACCATTAAACCAGGGGTGTCAAACTTGATTTTATTGACCGTTAGAGTTGAGGTTAGGCATTGTGGTTGTCCTGGGTGGAGTGTGGGTTAGAGTTGGGGTTAGTCATAGTGGATTAGAGATGGGAAAACCTGGAAAAATCCCAGAAAACTTGTGAAAAAACAGATTTTTTTCCCCATTTGTTTCCAAACTGCTTTGGAAACAAATTGGAAAAACCATTTTTTCCCACCCAAGTTTTTTCATTCCCCCCCCCAGGGCTTCCCATCTCCCGTTAGGGTTAGGGGGCAGTTTGGGTTAACGTACAGTAGGCATGGCAGTGGCATTGGGTGCAACGTGCAAAGCAGCAAGTGGCCGCAGCCCACCAAAACCGCCCATTTGCCACCTCCTGGCCAATGCCGCTGCCATGAGGCCACGGAACAAGCCAGGCTGTGGTAAGGAACTAGTATAACGGCATGTGGGTTAGAAGGGGGTAAGATCTGCCAGGCCTCATGGCAGCAGCATTGGGCGTGAGGTGCAAGGTGGCAAACAGCCGTGGCTGGCAGCAAACGGCCGCATCGCACCAAAAACAATCATTTGCCACCTTGCGCATTGCACCCAACATCGCTGCCATGAGGCCGTGGAACAAGCCGGGCAGTGGTAAGGATCTGGTATACCAGTACTGTGGGTCAGATCCCCCCTCCCCCATCAGCTTTTCCTCGTCACAGAGGCACTGGCAGATCCCTCCCTTACCTTGTGTCTATGGTGAAACCAGATGGAATCGGTGGCAGGCCGTCCATTCAGGCCCTTAAGTCGGACTTCTTTTGGGGTGAAGGACTTATATTAGGTCCACCCCTGAAAATCAGCTGGGGCTTACTTTGGGAGGCAAGTTTACTTTGGGGAAACACAGAATGTTTTTCTAACAAAGGAAATGTTTAAATCTCCAAAAGAACCACAGGGAAGAAGAGGTTCATTTAAATGAAATGAATGAAATCAGGCAAAAGCTACTTTTGCAAAAGACAACTTGCAATGCAGCACAGAAATAAAATGTGGGATTGCACTGGGTCTCATAGCAATAATGAACATGATCTGAACATGGAAAAACAGACATCAGCTTGGCAACCAATTGTAGATTAGTTCACTTTACTGTGTTCCCTGGTATGGTTGTGAAAATTGAACCTTAAAAAAAAAAAAACAAGAAAATCAACTCGTTTAATCTGTGGTTCTGGAGTAGGCTCCTGCGTATTCCTAGGACAGCAAGGTGACTAACAAGCAAGTATTGGAGCGCATAACACCAGACATGTCACTAGAAGGCAAAATCGCAAAACTGCGTCTCATTTTGGTCATGTCATGTGGGGAATTCACTGGAGAAAGCAATTATGTTTGGAAGAGTTAGTGGCACAAGGAAACCACGCCATCAAAGAACACAGTAACTGGGCATTTCATAGCTGACACCAGGAAGAGCATAGAAATAGTGCAAGATCAGAAGATGTGGAAAAACCTGGCCCATAGAATCCCCAAGAGACAGACTTGATTGAATGGATAACATCATCATCATATATTGTATTTTATTAATGAAACAACATAAGAATTATATAAGAATTACACCAGAATTGATTGTTCTAAAGTACTATGCATTTCCTCCTGAGAAGATTCCTTTTAGTCTTTTAAAACTGCTTTTCTCAGTCACAAGCAGACATTACGTATAATTTATTATGACTAGTACCACCATTGTGAGAACAAGCTCTGCAGACTGGCTTTAGGAGAAATGCTTTCCTGTGTGTTGACAAGCATATCAATCTTACTGCCATCTCAGTAGCTAAATAAAATGCTATTGTAGTATTGACAACAACTGGATACTTTTCCAGATATAGGGGCTTATTCCAACCAAATTATTAGACTTTTCCGGACTCTGAACTGCTTCTTGGATGGTATTTTCAATAGGACTATTGTGCACCCAGAAACAACATACAATGACACATCTTGCAAAATCATAACTCAAATTGTTTTCAATAGTGGCAATGAATCTTTTTCTTTTTTCATCCTGCAGCTATTTTGATCCCTTATGTTTATTTCAAATAAGATTAACGATAAAGGGAACTCCATCAAGCCTAACTCTTTTATTTATAGCTAGTTATCAACATTGCATAATCCACTATGTTTATGTAACCAAAAAACTAGGAACATTTGCTGGATGTACTTCTCAAGGAAATTCCAAGGAAATTATTTCTTTCTAAATTACATACCATGGACTATGCAGTTAAATGTGTTATACTTAGCACAAGTAACAAGTTGAATAATTTCTAGATTAACCACGTACAGTGCAGTTATCTGTTCCTGCTTTTTGAAACTGTCAACTGGAAAAAGTCTGTCCAGATAATCTCAATGAACATCAATACTAAATAAATACCCT